TTTTTTTTTCTTTGTTTTTAATTTTTTTCCTCCCACCTTAACCTTTTAGCTGTAAAACTTGAAAGTAAAAGCAAACTAATCGATACTATGCATATTTTCTTCACGTCTGAGTATTGTTCGTATAAGGAGCTTCGAGACGCAGATAATCGTACATCACATTCCTCCACTGAATCCATCCTCTCGATTGTGTCAAGTAGATAGCGTTGGTAGAGCCGGCGAATAGCTTAGAAGCCGGTATATTCACAGTGTATAGCCAGTAAAGCCCATGAATTCCATGCCGTGCAACTGTATTGTCCTTCCCTATCAAACCCGTGCTAAAAAATGGCCATTTCGACGCATCATTAATCCGTACCTAAAGCCAAAAAAACACCAAAAACATGCCTTTTGTTAGAGACCCTTTTCGTGTTTTAATTGGATTCAACTTAAATGTAACTTAACTTCTTATAAAGTTTTACCTGTAATTCAGCATCAGTAGCCGACGCCAATGCGATTCGGAGGGTGTAGCTTGCAGATGTATCATTCACGACGTCTGTCAGGTTAAACTTAATTGTCCATGTTGTCGGTACGTATGTTTTGCCGGTTTTCCTATGTATATTTCCACATATATATGGTCGTAAAACAAGTGTGCATGTATTTGAATTTCGACATTTGAAACATTTAAGTTTAGCATACAAAATGTGTACCTGTTAACTTGAGCAAAGAACCAATCTGTCTGGTAATTGCACGTTTCTACCGTGTAGACTAAATCGTGCTCTGGGTATAAATTCGTGTAGCTGTCCCACAATCCGTACTGTCGGAACCTGCTTTTACAAGTTTCAGACAAAAGATTTATGAGTGGAAAACAAAAACAGAGACTTGTTAACTTTTCGTTTTAGTCACTAACTTGTTTTAGTATTGATTTTTTTGGGGAGGGACGAATCTCAGCGGATCGTGGCAGCAAGGCCACTCTGCCCGCTTACAATAACACTTTTATTTTCGATAATAATTCACCATTTTGTGAAGGTGTACCACTTACTTGTCTGACTGGTCACGGTATAATTGGTTCATGAGTCCTGGAATTGGATCGGGCACGAAAAATTCAGCAGCCGTACGGTCAGGAATGCCGATTTCCCACAGGGTATGCCCATTTCTCGGAGGCTCAAATGTAATATGTCCAAGCTTAATTTCTCCTCCTAACAAATACAATTTGACACCATCTTTTCAGATAAACATATAAAATTTATATTGAATACTAATAACCTGCCAAAAAAAAAAATTGTTATTTATTAACCTGATTGAACGTTGATCACGTATTCGAGCATATAGTCGCCGATAAATCCAGGGACCCAAGCATTTAGGCTATATTTACCGGGCAGTATTCCGGTGATTACAAAGTACCCCAAATCATCAGTCTCAGTCCAGAATTGACAGCCCTGTGACAAAAGTGAAATAAAATAAAATTTACCGTTTCATTTTCGTTTTAATGAAGCCAAATTGCTCTGTTTTTCGAAAGAATAATCTAAACACGAACCTTATTTTCTCGTTGCCATGATCCAGGTTTGCCCGGTAGAGCTAACCCGACATAAGCATTGTTTGCATTCATCAACTTGTCACTGATGTAGCTAAGTAAGTAAATTAGAAAAAAATTTCCAAGATTATTTTTCATGTAACAATTACAATAAGTACATTTGAAAATTTTTGTATTGCTTTTAAAAAGTTAGAACTTAAGTAGCCGAGAAATAAATTTCATACCTATCTTGAACAAGTAATCGACCACTCACTACACCACGCTGCTCGGCAGGAAGGAAGTCAGCCGAGGCCGGAAAATCATATGGCCAGCTTTGTGTTTCTATGAGCATCTGAAAAATGTAATTCGAAAGAAAAAAAAAAAAGATGAGCATAACAAAAATTAGATAAATTCTTTCTCGAAAACTAATGTTTACCTGTTCTTTGGCGTCGGCCCAAAGTTTAAGTGGGTCGTCACCACTTGAAACTGAGTTTACGTAGATAAAAACCGGCCCGAACACCTTCTTCCACGTTTCGCCATCGCCAAATGATAGTGCTAAAGGAATTCCAGTGTAATGAGTGCTAAAAAACATCTGCAAGTAACATTTTTGAGAATAGTTAAATCATTTTCTTTTCCTTTTTTTTTTTTTGATATGACAAATCAAGAACGCTATGTAGTAGGATAGGATATGACGTTACGGATAGCGAAATCGGGCCAGCATGGGAGGTGAGGTCTTGCTTAACGGGCCCACCCGTTTTAAATTCGTTGCTTGGTGTGATTACCCAAAACCCGGTACGAAAGTTCGTTGATATCCATCCATGCACACGACAGTCCTTGTTGTCGCTAGAATACTGATACTTGTCATCAACCTGTAATATTATTGTATTAGCATTTAGAAGAAGATTAATTTGAATATACTTGAGCAAAAAAAAACTACACTCATTTTTACCTCTCCCTTGAGGGAAGGATTGGATGGATTAGTGAGAAGAACAGCTTCCGGAAAGTCGAGAGGCTGACCTCTCTCGCGATCTTCAGTTGTCGGCATTATCCTTTGTCTGTCATCAGACACTGCCATGTAATCGAACCTAAGAACAACACAGCCCAATTAATCAAATTCAGACATGATTATTACCTTAGATGAAAAATATATTTTTTGTTCAATTATTGCAAAACAAACCAAAGGCAAACCCCTTACACGTCGTTAAGTTTGAATGCGATGCGGCCTTGAGAGAGGATGACAGCCGGCCAATCTTCCAATCGCTCGAGAATCGCGTAAGAGTAAAATCCAGAGGAACCGCGAAGCATTACGAACCTTAACAAAAACAAAATTCGGAAATTAAAATATTAGTATATATATAAGATGAGTAAATAGTCTAATAATAATAATAGCAAAATGTGACTCTATTTTAAGACTCTCTCGATGGACCTTTTGTCGATATTAAGGGGAAGCCCGGATTTCGAAGTGTTCCATGTTCTCACGAACGAGATCTCGACTCCATCATCGTCTTGTTTTACGACACTCATGCTTGTTCCCTCGAGCCTAATGCATCATAACATGTTAACTAATCTTAGCCATTTTTGGAAAAAAAAAAAAAATACGGCTCGTATTGGATCAAACTTACTTATCGATAGTGTCCTGTGTACTTTCCTTTTTGTTATAGTAAATGTCATAATACCTGCATTTTTTTCTTGTAAGTAAATAAAGAGTTACAGTATGTGCGCGGTAAATAAAAAAGAATTAATTTACCCTCGGTTATCTTCTGTGTAGTCCGATTCCAGCAAATTATCGATGCCGTTGTACTTGATTCCGGTGATCATTCCGGCAGGGGTCGAAAAAGTCACTTCGAGGATACCATTATCTAATGCCATCTGTAGTTATGCGATAAATATAAAAGAAAATGTAAACATCAAGAGAATGAAGGGTAAATTTTATACAAGGAATATGTAAATAGTCAAGAGAGTGAAGACAGTAAATAGTTAAAATTGAGGTTTTTACATGGCCTGTCCAATGATACAACTGAACTGCAGGGTAATTCATCGCAGTGTAACTGTTATGCGTGTTACTGTTATGCCTGTTAGTCTTTCTGCAGTTAAAAACAAGGACAAAATTTTAAGCAAAATGGCAAAAACAGAGAGATGAAAAGTAGTAAACTGCAAACAAAACATATTTTTTTAAAAAAAAGAACATAATATGGAAACGATACAAATATATCAGCTCAAAATGAATTTTTTCATTAACCAGAGTTAATTTTGAAAAAAAAAATAGAATGGTAACTAGATTTTGATTTTATATTAAAATACTATTTAAAATAAAATTTAGACCGACCGACGTGTCGACACAGAACCAGAATAGGTCTCAGTGGGTTGTTAGGACCAGATAGAAAGGGACTCGACAAAACCGGTCAACCCGGCTTTGATTTGGTCGACTTGAATATTGACCCGGTTGGGTCAACTTAGTTTGACCTGACCATTTTTATTTTTCTTTTTTTACTTTTTGTATTTTTAAAAATAAAAGTACGTATCTAGATACTTATGTTGTATATATTTATAACAAAATACAATATTATTAAGATTTTGAGGTATAAAATTTATATACAATTTTTTTATTATTATTATTATTTTATGTACAATTTTATAATAAAAACAATATAAATGTAGTTTAAAAAAAAAAACCTTAATTTCATATTATTTTGGGTAATAAAAAGAGACATATTTCCATTTTTTTCAATTATACATAACCCTATATAGGCTATAGTTACTTGACTAAAGCAAGATATATTCATAACAAATTAGTGGTAGGATTTAAAAGACTAGAATAATGAATGAATAACAATTAAGTTACAAACAAAATTCATGCATGCGTCAATAATTGCATCTTATATTCTTTTTTTAATCATTATCTTAACATAAAATTCTGTATATATATACATATATATTTATTAGGTAAATATTTATGACAAAAATAATATTATTAAAACTATTAGGTATAGAATTATGTCTAAATTAACTATTTATTCTTATTATTTCTATGTATACTGATAAGATTAAATAGTATTTGTGTGTATAATTATTAATTTTTAATATACCTTCAAGCTTTTTTTTCCCTTTTAACTTCTTAAATACAAACTATTCATTCATTTATTTTCTTTTTCTAGTTCCTCAACGAAAGAAAAGGAAATAAAAAGCGAACTTAGAGTTTCAATAAGAGACAAATTTTAATTAGTAATACTCGTGTTAGGCTGCACGGTTAATGATAGACAATATTTATACTTTTTTCTACATAAAATTTTATATTTTTTAGATGTAAATAAATGTTATAGTTTAATAAAATAAATAAAACAGTAAGTTATCATAAGAAAAAAAAAAGTATAACATCTGGCAATTAATCACTATAAAAACACAGATGAAACTCAATTGAGCTTCCATCCCAAAATCAATTGGCTGATGAGAGCAGTAGTCCACTAGACTTATATGTTAGACATATTTT